GTAAATAAATCTTCTGTATTTTTTTTTCCTTTTAAGTAGGATCCATGTCCAGCATGGAGCCCAACACTGGGCTTGAACTCCTAATCCTGAGATGAAGACCAGAGTTGAGATCAAGAGCGGATGCTTAGCTGACTGAACCATCAGATGCCTCTAAATCTTTCGTATTCTTGATAGTCCAGGGATGGACTGACCAATTTACGGAGAAATTACTGTTTAAGAAAAAAAAAAAAACCACCAGAGCATTTATGAAATGAATGAAAGTGCTCCAAACAGCTAACACAGCTCTGTGCTAAAAGTCATCTGTTGTTTGGAAACAATAGATTCCATGTTGTTTCTCCTGTGCTATTGCAATGCCTCTGCCCCCCTTGACAACTGGATGTGTAGCTAATGCGGTTCCACATCCCTCAGGTTCCATCTCTTCCCCCCACGGGCCTGCCCAAGAGGAAAGTGGTGGTCATAATCGCCAGTGGAGAGGGAGGGTGTTTCCAGGACTGCTCTGGTTTCTCACAAGATCTAAAACCGCGAGGGCTGGTGCATGGAGGGCAGAGGAAGTAAGTGTGTTGTTGGGGTTCGGCTGCTTCACACCACGTTCTAATTTTCTACCAGAAAAACACTTAGGAAACAAACAATAATGATTTAACAGGTTATCAACTTTTTGACTACTTTTGTCAATTTATGTGGAGTTATGTGTGCCTAGGCCCTTAGACTTGTACCAGTTTTACATTATTATGTTGTCAATTAATAAATGTGTTCCTAAATAATAAATGAAGCTTTAATTAAGCACTCAAATATTTGCATGACATCTAATTTGAATCATGTTGTGACTGGTTTAAATTAACAATAATTGGAGGCTATCCCTGACTTTGTGCCACCTCCAGATCTATTACGCTCTTTAACCAAGACTTAGCCGTAGTTAAAAGATTAATGTGGCACCAGGATTTAGGGTAAAACGTGGGAGTGAAAAAGAAGCAAGCAGATAAATAAAGGGGGCGACTAAAGCCAAAGTTACCACAGTAGCATAGTTGAGGAAACAGAAAGAAGGAACAAGTATGAAATAAATTACACAGGAATTGTGGGCAGAACTCAAGGAAGCTTAGAGATAGAAGATTCAAGATA